GGGGGGGGGGGAAGAGAGCGTCTCCAGTTACCTCATTCTTCAGTCCTCAAGAGCAATAAAGCAGAGAATTACCAAAGTCAAGCCCCACCCTTCAAATCCTCCAGACACTCTTTTGCAGTCTGCCATTTCACCTTACAGTTTATAAATCCTGAAGTCTGACCATTTGCACAGTTTTGTCTTTTTGACATTTTGGCTTCCAGAAACAGCGTCTAAGAATGTGGAACCAGATGTCACAACATCCCAGCGAAAGGCAAGGAAAAGAAAAACAGTCTCAGCATTTTTATGTTTTGAACAATGGGGAATAGCCACAAAAATACCTAAACAATATTGTTTGCGTGAAGCAACTTCAAAGTCTGAGCACTGCTAGGAATCAGGTGATTTTCCTGGCATCAGGAAGGCTTTAATGTATAGCATCTGGTCTGCTTTACAAGTTATTTAAAAACTGACTGGAATGGCTGTTTTACCCACAAGCAGATCAGATAACAAGACACTGAGTATTTCATGACAGTGATAAGTTGGGCTTCAAGAATGTGGGCTCAAATCTTTGAATTTAAGGCTTCTGAATGTGGCTGGTTGAATGTGAAAGTCCACATCATCCAAACACAGTACATTTCCCTTTGTTTAACCAACTCTTCAGAATTTGGCTATTATACCTACATAGTAAGATTTGAAGAGTCACAGATAAATATCTAGAAAATTATTCTAGGGTTAGATATTAAACTCATCCTAAGAGAAACCTCTTTGTATGACAATAATAATTGGGAGGCTGCTCCACAACATGTGATTTCTTTCTGGGACCGTAGAATTCATTTTTCCCTTTTTATACACGATTGATAGCTATAGAAGTCCACTACCAAGAAATTCCTTTCAAGGAAGCGAAGATCTATTTCTGCCTCGACTCTGCAAACAAAAGCTATGCATTTGAAAGCCGTGTGCCCACACCTACTCAGCTTGAAAGTTCCTCCCGTACAAACTGTAGTACAGTAGCATCAAAACAGTCTCTATTTTTAGAACTATATCAAAGACATATCCCTTGTTTTTAAGGTTGGCATCTACCAGCCCTGTCTTTGGTGACTCGCTGTTGACTCTCCAAGTTTTGCAGCTGTGGTGAAGGTGCCTTGTTTTGGGCTTACGAGCTGCGTCGCCATTAAGCTGCGGCAATATTCACATAGCTTTGCTTTGGCTTGAGTGACTGATGGATTACAAGAAGCATACATTCCCCTCAAAAGAAACCAAACTTGAATTCATCCTTAAGTTAAATAATTTGTGCCTTGTCCTTTCGAAGACTTTCTGCCTGGAATCTGAGGTTTTGTTCCAGTAGTATGCTGCTTAATCGGTATTTTTAGAAGGAAAACTAAGCAAACAGAATAAATTGTATGGTTCCAAGTAAAGTAACCAATCAAGCACAGTCCATTCCGTCTAAATGACAGCTGGGGGTTGCTGCTGGATTCACAAGTTACTGATTGACAATGAAAGCGTGCCAGTCACATTGCTGTACTCCACAATTGCGACCTGCTTAGTTCCAGTTGGCTCGCTGTGTGTGGGATCTTTGGATGACACATTAGGCTTCAAAGTCCTGCCTGCTCTGAGAAGTTGCTCCTGGCCTTCACATTCAGAGCAGGACCACCGGAAATGCAACCCATTGCCTCACAAGTGGTAGGTGTGTAATTGTGCTTTCTCCAGACCTAACCCGGAATGAACGGTTCCATACAAAAAACTGCAAGATGTGGCTAAAATGGCAAATCTCACTTCTATACTTGCTTGCTTTTGTCGACAGTATTCAGAGGGTTTTTAGCTGGATCCACAGTTTGTCACTTCTCCAGAACACACTGGCGTGGTAGGTTGAGAGGTTGCTGGCTGTATAAAAATCGTGACCTGCGACTAAAAGTTTCCAGGAGACGCTCTGATGCTTTGCTTTGTTGCCTCTTACATAATGCCAACTACGAACCTTTCACTCCAAGCTGAGGTTGGGGAGAACTACAGTCTACTGACTGCAAAATCCTCAAGCTGTTTAAAAATCATATAGTTTACTACTTAAATACTTTCTCTCCTGGCTTCTAGACACCTGGAGGCAACAAGCTGCCAATTCTGTAACCCATCAGCAATAAAACCTCTTGTTAGGAAGGCAGAGAAACCATGAGAGACTAAGGGGCGAAAGTTTTTGCCAGTACATAATCATCCCGTGTCAAGCCCTCCATTTACTTCAGAGGCTGGACACCTATCTACACAACTCTGAAAATCAGGCTGTTCACAGAGCATTTCTTCTAAAAGGCATATCCTTGTTTTTCTAAACTCCTCTATTAGTAACTTCCTGGGCATGTCTACTCCAAAATACATTTTTAAGGGAGGATTTCTGTCTTGTGGTATATTAGGCAATCAAACGATGCCCCAAACAAAGGAGGAAATACACCAAGGATAATTCCAATGAAAAATATCAGTGCATACATGTTCTCTCTACTCCTTATGGAAGAAAGCAGCTGTATACAAAGAAGGTTTTGATAAAAATCAGGTCAGAACCCTTATGTCTACTTGATGCTTTCCTTGAGGATGGTGGATTGGGAATAACCAGTCCCTTTTCTAGGTGGCAGCACCAGTTTTTGCTGCGTGCAGCTGACTGTCCTGCACCCAGGCAGGTAACACACCACCTCTTCAGACTTGGAATACAATTTCAGACTCGGCCCTTCTACACACATTTCCTCCTCCTGCAGATGTTTATGGGAGCCTTGCATGCATCTGAGAGCAGAATTTGGCCTATGCGGTTTCTAACAGAGAATCTGCAATGGGAACAGTGCGAAATAGAATATATCATGGTAGATAAAAATAAGAGAACCTTTGTGGATATCGGGTGTTTGTTCTAATCCGTAAGGAAAAACCTAATGGAAGTCCAAAACAAGAAAGTCTAAAATGTTATTAAAAAGCCACTTCTTGTTACCAGACATCAGAGTGCGTTGTGAAGACTCCATCCTTCAGTGATTCCGGGGACATCCAGCGGACCGGCAGCAAGCCCTTCCCTCCTTTCCGATAATAATCTGTCTCATATATATCTCTTGTCATGCCAAAATCTAAAACAAGAAGCAGAAACATACTGTGTGTGTTGTTATGCACCAAAATAGTTTTAAAAATATCCCCAAAAAACCTGTCGAATGAAACCAACTGAGAATCATGGCAAGCATCTGGGATTTGTCAGCATGGTTTATTTTGCACGAATACTTCACATACGTGTCACTCCCATTGGAACTAATGGGAATTTTGCCATTGACTTAGTTCTGTTCCCACAGAAATCAAGAAGAGTCTTGAAAGGTTGGGCGTGGGGGGTGTTTTCTAGGACTAGACTAGTATTGCCTCAGGGATGGTGTCACTCGGTTCCACAAGGGAGCGTGTGGATCCTGGCTACAGAGATACCAGTGAGTCAGTGCCACCCATGTTTATCACATACAGATTAAGACATTTTTTCCATAACTAACATCATAAACTGATTACGCAAGAAGCAGCTGAGCTCTGCATGTGCTGAAGTCAATGATTCTTTGCCCCTTAAAAAAAAAAAAAAAAAAAAAAAAAAAAAAAAAAAAAAAAAAAAAAAAAAAAAAAAAAAAAAAATCTAAAAAGGTTGGTTGCACTAGAGTACTTAGGATCATAGGAAAGTAGGGCTGGAAGGACCTCACAGTGTCATCTAGTCCAGCCCCCTGCTCAAGGTAGATTCATCCTGATTAAGCCATCCCAGGCAACAGTATAACTTGCTTCTGAAAGCGTTCAAGCATGGAGACTCCACAACTTCTCTGGGCTGCCTGTTTCAATGCCGGACCACTCTCTAAGTCAGACCACTCACAGCCGTGACCTGAAGTGTTCTACTTGAAATGACCAGATGGAAAAAAAAATCTATTTTAGAATTTCCCCTTTTTATCCCCAAAACTTTGATTCAATTTCCCTTAAGAGTCTATTCAGATCTTGTAGAAGATGCTTCTCTTCATTATTGGAAAGCACAAGTAGTTACACTGCTCAGCTTGGACACTAGACCTGAAACAGGAAACACGTGTAAGCGCTTGCAAGACTTGGCTCAAACATCGCCCACCTATTTCATGCTCCACTCAAAGTTACTTCTGGATTTTTTTTTAAAAAGTCCGCATTTGTTCATCAATTGCTACATGGAAAATGTTAGGCTACGAACAAACCACCTTAAACTAACAGTAACCTGGCTGGAAAGTTAACTAAGTAGAGGGATCTGATGTTACTTAAATTATCATCACCCCTAGGGAACAGCTTCTTTTGCTGAAACTACAAGGTAAGGGGGAAATTCACTTCACCAGCATGAACCCAAAGGATTCCAGCTGTTTCAGGGTGAAATGCAGCAAAGGGAGGAGAGAACTCTTCCAGCCTTGGCAATCCCCCATGGCTATTACTTCAGTGTGTGGCTTGGGATAGCAGCTGTTTCTCCCACCATACTCCATGCACAGAGTTAGAGAACAGCTTCAGGGCTCTCTCTGCCACTCCAAAGACAGTCCCGCAAGCCAGGGTGACTTTCATCTGGATTAACTGGAAAAATCCTATACAAGGTAATGCAAGTAAGTAACAGAGATGCGAGGAACATTAAGATGCTCTCCTTGCAAGCACTCAACAAAAAACCTTCTGTGTTCTAAACAGTCTGGATTAGCATGTTGACTCAAGATGAACCAAACTCTCTGGATGTGAAGGGGTTTTCAGTATCACATAAGAACAGTATAGATAATTACTGATTAAATGCTTGCACAGGTAATCATTTAAAGTTTTAAAGAGCAAAAAAAGTGAGTCTTTTAGAGCCTAACACATTGTTAAGTGTTTGGGAGGAGCCTAATGGCACCGATAAAAGGAGAAATGTTATCAGCTTTTTTTGGTTGTTGTACCTGATAATTATGGGTACATGCCCAGAGCTCCCTGGCAAGTGTAGTCCGGTCCCCGTGCCCTGCCACTGGCCTGAGCCTGCAGCACACTAAGTCCCAGCAAGCAACAGGAGAGGAAAGGGGAGCTGTGGAGCAGTCACAGGGTGCCACGCTCAACAACAAAAGGACCATTACAAACTCCTGCTGCCACGGCAATGCTCTGCACGCAGAAGGGGCCTGAGCACCAGGGGTGCTGCGAAGATGTTGGGTTGCACACAGGTGGGGTCTTTATCGGTGCACCCCTACCTATGATGCTTCCCTGAGCTGCCATATCAAACTGACTCAGATTATAGCAGACCTCGGAAACGGCACTTTATGCCTGGAAGCTTGTCTAACATCTCTCCCAACTATATTGTTGATCCAATAAAAAAAAGTCAAAAATTTGCTTCTTGCATATTTCTTGGACCATCTTAGTTAACACACTCCAAGCCCTGCTAGGTTTATACTCCAAGAATCAGTTTCCTACAACAGAAAGCATGCTGTTACACACTATTTTAATATGCACCACTCAAAAAAAACTACCAAAGGCTGAAGTCAGTCTCCCCAGAGAATAATCTGAAATTTCATCCGACTCTATTTTGGGGGCAGGAGTAGAAAAGGGTATCTTAGCACAGCAGCAGGAAAGCCATTTCTGTAATCTGGAGAGCAGAATTCCAGCTCAGATTGAAAAGCCTCCAGCAGGAGCCAACCCCTGCATTCCACTTCAAACCCGAAAAGGCTTGAACGTAATCCTAAAATGCTCCTTCCCAAGTCAATAAACAGCAGGTGGGATTATCTGTATGTGCTGCAAACCCCTCCCCTGCCATAATTAGATACTACTGGCAACCGTTCCTTTAGGACCTAACCCAGATGGCTGAGGCGTTTACACCTGCACACATCTTGCACTGCAGGATATGTTTTAAACCTGCCCTCTCTTCCACATCTCTCCACTGTGCAGCATCAAACAGAAGCACTGCAAATGTTTCAATTCAGCATCAAACAGAGGCCCTAAAATGAAGCAGGTTTTTGGATAAATTGCATCCATTTCCTGGAATTATTTTTAGAATGAGTCTTCCTACTAACAGCTTCAAGAATTCCTCTGTTTTCCACACTGACCATATTATATTCGAGTTTCCCACTTGTTTAAGCACAGCTGAAACGCATGAAAACACACCTCCAATTTTCACAGTGAAGTCTTCAGCCACCATGCAATTTCTTGCAGCAAGATCCCTGTGAACAAATTTGTTGGCGTTGAGGTAAGCCATGCCGTCTGCGATCTCTCCTGCCATCTGAATCATCTTCTTCAGAGTTGGAGGCGCCTGGCCAGGGTTATTCTGAGCAAGATCAAGGAGAAATAAGGCGTGAGATGGGTGGGGTTGGAAGGAAGGGGGAAGAAGCAACTGTTTCCCCTTCAAAAGCAGCAACAGGCTTTTCTTAATTTGGATCATCGCAAGTCAATCTGACAAGAAATCAGAACAAATGTGAACTGAAACTTATGATTACAGAGACCATAGCATCTACTTAGTGGGAAAATCATGTGTTCCCTCTTCAGCCACATCAAGCTTTGCTACAAAACAGGGCCTCCAATTAGCTCCAGCATAGCTGCATGTTCTATTTTCATGGATATACCAAAAAACCCAAAAAAACAAAAAAAAGAAAAGGAAGAAAGAAAGCAAACCAGGTCAAATTTAGTGTCAAAATTCCTTTTCCTCCACCCCACAACATTTTAAAGAGATGAAGCGAGATAGTTTTTGCAGACCTTTTGGGTGGCAGCTTTTCTATCAGTGTAAACAAAACAGAAAACATTACAGGATGATAAATTATTCCTCCTCTCCCTTGTTTGGTGATCTGATGCTACTCTTGAGCTACTTGCATAGACCTACAAAAGCGATAAGGTCCCTGGGACAATTGCTTAGAAAATGGATTTCACTTGCAATCAAATAAAGGTATACACAGCTTAAGTCATCATCATCACTGTTCGCAGGATGAAGTCTGAGATTGTTGCATGTAGTTCAGCACAGTCACACACAGGTGTAACTTGTTTCAGTGTGTACTTGGCTGAAAGTCATCCTCTGGTTACACAGCAAGCCTACCATAGCACTGCTAAGTATAGATCTAGTCATCTCCAATCCTGACTCGGTCTCTAACCAATACTCTACACACAGATCAAAACTCTACCTCAGCTTGGGGGGTTACCAGTCTCAGGGTTGACCTGAAGGTTAATTAACATTTGTTTAACATTTCTAATATATAAACATTGAGTACTTGCTACTATGAATCTCTCTGCTCCTTTACTCTGGATACTTCCAAGATCCCTAATTTCAAAATACAATTGACCCCACCAAAAAAGTCCCACAATAGCTGGAATTGAGAAAACCCATGGAAATTCAATGAAAGTTTGCACATTACTGGACAAACACAGGTGGGAACCTTTGTAAAGACGTAAGGGTTAGAAGAGCATGTGAAATCAGTGGCTAAGGAACACGCACCAGTGAGTTGGCAGGGAACCTGCCACCCAATGGTGCCAGAGCGCATTGAAGTATGAGGAGGATTGTAGGATATCAGTTCTTCCCTGTTCAGGGCCTGTTTCACAGACCAAGGCTGAAAGGGAAGCAGCAGTTAAGTCACACCATTACCCATTTAATAGGCTACTTCTGGGATGAGGACAATAGCTGTATAAGCAAAGAGCGAAAAAAACAGAGTAGATGGCACCCAACATTTTGGTCATTCCCTTATTATTAATACCATCACTGCCCTCTGTCTCCTATGCTACAGCATTCAGCTACCTTAACTCTTAAGCAAAGCTCTTCAATTTAATCCACAACCTGCATCTTAATAAAAACAGCCTCAGCTGAATGCTTCCTCAGATGCAAATCCATTCCTAATTGCCATCAAATGATGGGGTCAGAAGCATATTTAAGCAACCTGCCTTTTGTTATATGAAATGCTCTCAGGATTCATTCTCTTTCGCACAAACCAGGTGTTCTCACTCTGTTGTAGTAAATTATTTATGTCAGAAGTGCTTGCTAACGAAACAGCGGGTGAACACATTTTATACACACCCTGCTATCCTGGAAGAGCAGGAAGTGACCTAGCAGTATTCTTTCCTAACCTTTCAGACCCTGACATGTACAAGAGTCATTTCATCTGTTGGACTGACAGGCTAAATATTAAACATCACATGTAAGGCTAAATATTAGTGTCAACTGCAAAGGGCTCATTCATAATTAAGCTTGTTCATAATTAACATAAAAAAACAAAAAGGTTGCGTGTGGGGTTACTTCATGAACAATTACCCAAACTCATGCATGTTTCAGACTATCATGTTGTTTTGCAGCTTTATCAAAAGTCAGATTAAGGAAAGAAGAGTGTATTCCAATCTGGATAAGACATTTAGTGACACTAGGACAGGACACAAGTAGGTTACATCTCCCCCAGTTAAGCTGCTTCATATAGATAAAGGGGGAGATGAGCAAATAGCCGACTGAACTCAGCAGCAGATGATCTTCCAGGGCAGTTGTTATAAACACCCCAGAACACAAAGCAATACACTGGCAAAACTGATGCTTCAGTTACTGGGATCCTGCGTTATCTGGCTGCTCACAAGAAGTAAACTGCACAGGATACACCGATTAGAAAGGAGAATGATCACAGAGCAAAGAATCTTGAAGCAGCTGCTGAGTAAGGGCCTCGGCTTTAATGTTTACAAGCTAAAAAAGAATTGAGGGCTAGCCCTATATTTTGCAACTGTCTGCTTGTACCTAATATGCGATTTAGCAGAGACAGGGCCACGACCTTTAAAAATCAAGGGGAGGGGAGAAGAAAATAAGATGGGATGAAAGTGAAGCATGTGAAAAGGTCTGAATCCACACACCGATACACCTAGTTTAAAGTAAAGCATCAGCCCATAAGGCTCAGCTGCTTTGCCAGCCAACCCAGTGCAGGTGAATGGGCCAACTGGAGGGCAGGAAGGTTGACACCATAAACAAACAACAGCTGCTCCCAACAGCTTGGGAAACTGAGAGCAAGGGTAAGACTAGCATGCTGAACTTCTCACCTTCCCTTGCAAGAGGATTAAACAAACACACGTGTGCATACACATGTACACATACACCCTGCCACCTGCTGCTCACCTCAGTGTCTGGCCGCAGAGACCTCAGGTAGCTCTTGAGATCCCCGCGTGTCATCAGTTCCATAATAACCAGAGTGGGTTGGCCTTGAGAGACAACTCCAAGCAATCGTACCTGAAAGGGAAGAGTTATGATTACCCAGCACTTACGGACACAAAGTCAGGCTATCATTAACCATTTAAAACCCTGGCTATTGATTAGGAGAGGCCCCAAACTGGAACCCATATCCACAAGCTTGGGGAAGGGTTTGGAAACCAATTTGGATGCAAACTGTGGAACAACAGCTATCCCTATCAACTCATCACAAGTCATTTCTGGAACTAGTCAACCAAGCCGTGCACTGTCGTCACCACGCCAGTGGACATGGCGCTGTTAAGATCAGCCCTGGTCATCTTCAAGTCACTTACCACATGGTGACAGTTGAACTCCTTCATCACCGAGGCCTCATTTAGGAACTCGATCCGCTCCCGCATGCTGGCGGACTCATTGACCGTTTTGATGGCCACCCGAGTTTCTGGCTCATCCTTCACCACGCCCTTTGCTATCCCCTCATATACCATTCCAAAGGAGCCCTGCCCAAGCTCCCGGCACATGGTGATCTTCTCGCGAGGCACTTCCCATTCATCGGGAACATACACTAGAAACAAAGAGAGCCGTCAATGCCGTTC